TTTTTTAATGGCTGAATAATAGTCCATTGTATACATGAATCATAACTTCTTTATCCAATCATCTGTTGATGGGCATTTAGGTTGCTTCCATGTCTTGGCTATTGTGAATAGCCCTGCCATAAACATAAGGATGCATAGATCTTTACAAATCAGTGTTTTGGTTTTCTTTGGGTAAATACCCAGAAGTGCAGTTTCTGGGTCAAAAGATAGATCCATTTTTAGTGTTTTGAGGAATATCTAGACTTTTTTCCACAATGACTGTACCAATTTGCAATCCCACCAATAGTGTATGAGGTTTCCCTTTTTTCCACATCCTTGCCAACACTTGTTTTCTGATTTATTTATAATAGCCATTCTGATAGGTGTGAGGTGATATCTCATTGTGGTTTTAATTTGAATTTCTCTGATGATTAGTGATCCTGAGCATATTTTCATATATCTTTTAGCCATCTGTACTTCCTCTTTGGAGAAATATCTAATCAGGTCTTCTGCCCATTTTTTAATGGGATTCTTTTTATGTTGTTATTGAGTTATACGAATTTTTTTATAAATTTTGGATATTAAACCCTTGTCAGATATATCAGAGGCAAATCTCTTCTCCCATTACATAGGTTTTCTTTTTATTTTGTTGATGGTTTTCTTTGCTGTGCAAAAACTTTTTAGTTCAATGTTATCCTTGAACTAAAAGTTGAAATGTTATTTGTCTATTTTTTCTTTTGTTTCCCTTGCCCAAGAAGATATATCAGAAGTTACTAGTTGCAATATTAAAGAGTTTACTGCCTACGTTTTCTTCTAGAAGTTTTATAATTTTGAGACTTACATTTAAGTCTTTAATCCATTTTGAGTTTATTCTTGTATATGGTGTAAGATGGTAGTCCAGCTTTATATTTTTGAATGTATTTGTCCAGTTTTACCAATAGCATTTATTAAAGAGATTGTTTTTACCCCATTGTATATTCTTGTCTCCTTTTTCATATATTACTGACCATATAGGCATGGATTTATTTCTGGGCTCTCTATTCTATTGCATTGATCTATGTGTCTGTTTTTATGCTGACAACATGCTCCTTTGATTACTGTAGACTTGTAATATAGTTTGATATCAGGTAGTGTGATACCTCCAACTTTGTTCTTTCTCAAGATGGCTGTGGTTATTCAGGATCTTTTATGGTTCAATATAAATTTTTAGATTATTTGTTATAGTTCTCTAAAAAATGCCATTGGTATTTTATTGGAGATTGCACTGAATCTATACATCACTTTTGGTAGTATCACCATTTTAATGATGTTGACTCTTCCTACCCATGAGCACAGTATATGCTTCATTTATTTGTATCTTCTTCAATTTCTTTTTTCAATGCATAATTTTCCAAGAACAAGTCTTTACCTCTTTGGTTAATTTGATTCCTAGGTATTTTATTGTTTTTGATGTAATCGTAAATGGGATTGTTTTCTTAATTTCTCTTTCTGCAAGTTTATCATTGTTGTATAAAAGTGCAATCAACTTCTGGATATTAATTTTGTATCCTGTTAGTTTACTGAATTCATTGATCAGCTCTAACAGTTTTTTTGATGGAATCTTCAGGGTTCTCTCTATATAGTATTATGTCATCTGCAAATATGACAGTTTTACTTCTTTTCAAATTTGGATGCCTTTTATTTCTCTTTCTTGTCTAATTGCTGTAGCTAGGACTTCCAATACTATGTTGAATACAAGTGGTGAAAGTGGGGATCCTTGTCTTGTTTCTGATCTTAAGGAAACCGCTTTTATCCTTTCTCCATTGGTATGATGTTAGCTGTAGATTTTTCATATATGGCCTTTATTCATTTGAGGCCAGCCTTCATGTATTGAGTTCTTTGATTGAATCTCTTGAGATTCTATAACCCTCCTTTCATACTCATTTGTTTATGAAGAAGAGTTTGTAAAGTAATATTTATTAATGAATTTGTGATATATTTTAGGGGTTGAGAAGATTGAGTCTCAAATCCTAATATTTACCCCACTCACTATCAAATGATGAAGTGGTACATGAGGAATAACAGCTAAATGGATAATGAAGCACTACTTTATTAGCAGTTTGGCTAGCTTCACAAATGCCCCCCAAAATTCTTTTCTGGAAAAATTGAGTTGAAGCCATGTATGTGCTCAAGGCTACATTGGTAACTTAATTCCTCTGTTTGCTCCACTTCACCAATTTGAGAGTGCTGGGCCAAATCATCTAACTGCACGGCAGTTAGAAACAAGCATGGAGAGCTTTACCTGAGAAAGTCAGTTCACTCAGTGGACTTCCAGTATGAAATACCTGAAGTGAAAGAGCAAAAGCCAGATCATTCAGGGGGTCCAGACCATCTCATCATGTCAATCATGTGGTCATAGATAGCAGGAGGCAGCAACATTGATTCAGGAAGTTAAAAAGAGAAGGCACCTGAATTTAAGGAAGAATAAAATTTTGTATAATGAATGTCCTGGGCTCAGGCTAACTAATCACAATACAATGTGATAAATGTTAAAATAGGCAAGTACTAAAGTACTAGATGGAGTGGTGACACAAAGGTGGAAGTGATCAATTTCTTGTGTGCATAGAGTATGGTTTCATAGAGAAAGATACTTTAGGGATAAGTAGATATTTGTCAGAGTGATGATGGCAAAGAGAAAATTCCAGAAACTTACTATGGCATTTGGTAAGCCATAGTAAGTTTTGGAAAAAATAAAGTTTGGTATGATTGAAGAAACTTTCACAGGGCAATAGTGAAAACCAGGGAGTTAAGCTCATGTGAGACAGTCTGAAGTCTCATGCTAAAGAATGTAGGCTTTATCCAATGATACCTATGGAAAGGTTGATGAAAACAAGATGCCCTAATGATAGGAACAGTTGTTTAAAGATGTTATTGCATACATATTTCCATAGTATCATTCCCTATGGTTGCTGTAACAAATTATAAAAAAATTACCAATAAACTTATGACTAATTATCAACAAACCTGGTGGCTTAAAACAATATACATTTATTATCTTAGAGTTCTGGGGGTTAGAAGTTGGAATTGGGTCTTCCTGGGCTAAAATAAAGGTATCAGTAGAGCTGCCTTGCTTCTAGAAGCTTTAGGAGAGAATCCATCTCCTTGCCTTTTTCAGTTTATAGAGGCTGCCGGTATCCCTTGGCTTGTGAGCTGTTTCCATCTTCAAAGCCAGCAGTGGCCTGTTGAATATGACTCATGTTGCATCATTCTGACAGGCTCCCTTTTCTGCCTTCCTCTTTTACTTAAAAGGAATCTTGTGATTACATTGGGCCTATCAGATAATTCAGGATAATTTTCCCATGTCAATGCCAGCCGATTAGCAACCTTAATTCTCCTCTCCACATAGGTTCTGAAGATTAGAGCGTGGGCATTTTGGAGGACCATTTACCTATCACACTTAATTTTGTATACATTGATTAAACAGATTACTTTTCAATATTACATTCCTATAACACTCTCATATAATGACAATGACAATAATAGGTCATAAGCTTACCATATGAGATCAAAAAATATAATGAAAAGTTATTTTCATGAATCCTCTAAAAATTTATAAGACATATTGGCAGGTAACTCATCTTTCTTGAGAAAACGACTCAGCAAAGCAGCAGAATTCACTTAGATAACATTTTATTTGTTAGAGCAAGATTTGACAGACTTCAACAGCTGGAGAAATTAATTTAAAATCACAACATTTAGTGTTTTGGCATACTTTTCCAGGTAGGTGAAGAACAATGACATATTTTAGAAATCTAGTCACTGCTTCTACATTTTAATGAGAAGATTTGAGAACAGATAGAAGCCATACATTTAAGCAGATATGCTTTAATAGGTGGTGGAAAACTGTCAGAAGATAGATCTGCTGTGAAAATTTCTACAGTTCTTACTGATTTCCTTGTTATAAATATCACTTTTAAATGTGTACTTTTCTGAACAGAAAAAAATAGCAATTCACTTTATGAATACTTTCATATTTACAATGCCCTTTTAAAAATGGTAAGTTAAAAGGGAATATTGCAATGTGAACTACAATATTTCTAAAGTTAAAAAAATAAAGAACTCAAATATACTAGTCTAATGAGATACAATATTTTCCAATACACTGAAAGGTTATAGAATAGAATTCTTCAGCTTTATTTACAGGCATGAACAGCATTTACAGGCATGAACAATATGATGTTTTGACACATTTATGTATTACTGATTAAGCATTTGAAGTCACAATCTGTGGAATAATTATAGAAATACCATATATCTTATTCTAATTCTAATGTTAACCTAAAAATGACAGAAATGTTTTTTTTTATGAAGTTTTGTGGCTTTTGGAATGTTAGAAAAGAAAATGGATAAACAGAGATCCAAGCTATTATAGCAGAAATTTAAGTTTAGAACAATTCATAAAATGGTAAGACATGTTTATTCAATTATTTATTTTAACTCTATACTTTTTCATTTAGTTTATAGAGAGAAAAAGTTTACTCAAAATACATCCCACTGTTATAACAGCCATTCCTTTTTAACTGTTTTATATTCTGCCCCTTCATTCTCTTATGTTCCACTTTCTGTAACAGAGCTCATCACCAAGGTAATAGGGGACTAGTTTTAAAGGCAACATCAGTCACAAAATATCAAGCCAATGGTTTCCTTTAGGACATTCATATATTTCTAGTGTTAGAAAGAAAATCTTTCCTTAGGCACAATGATATCATTCCTGAGAAACCAATTACTTTCCAAAGAGCTGCAATACTATTTTTGACATAACTAAGTCATGTAGGGAAGCATACTATAGCTAAATGGTACATAATTTTATCTCTTATTATATACATTTCCTATACTTTAAACAGAAAAACTGATTTAAAATATTTGATTTTCTAGTAATTAATAATTGAATAATTTGTTCCAGTCATTTTTATACATTGGCTATCCACAGCTTGGCTTTTTAAAATTTTTGTGTAGCAATAATTATCCATAGTTCCTTCTGTTTACCTTAAACATCCGAAACAACAAGGGACATTTTTGAACAATCTATAATATTCTTCTTGGATCTAAAAAAAGGAAGGGAGAAATGTTAAATAAAATTGCAACAATCACACCAAATTATTTTCAAATCACATTAAATTGTTACATTTATTTTTCTAAATTATTAATGTTTTCTGATTATTTGGGAGAATATGCTCAAGTGAATATAAGCTACATTCCTATTTCTAATAGCAAGTTTTTTAAAAGCATATTTTCCTTAGACTAGCTAGGTGTTCTGATTTTTTTTTTATACTAAAATGTACTGTGTTTAGGCAATAAAGGCACAAGTCATAAATCTATGAGAATAAGAATTTTTAACACTTTGGTAACTGATGCTACATAAGTATACTATAGAATTGACCAAAATAACAAATTGCTTACCTTTCTAGATAAAACACACAGGAATAAGAAAATGAACATCCCCTGGAAGGCGTTGCTGATGGTGAAGAGGTAAGCTGTCACCACTGATGCATGTACAACATGGAGCACCCCAAAGATCCAGGTGGTGCCAAGAAGGAACAGGAGAGCGAGGGCTCCTCTGGCACAAGACCTAGAACATATTTGAAATGTTCCAGTTAAAATTACGTATACTCAACACATCCATGAATTCCTCAAATTAGGTGGGAAATGAGTTTTTGGTATAACTAAGAAATCTTTTGACAAGACCAATAACAATTTTGAAACTGACAAACTGTGTTACAGTTACATGGGACAGCTTTTAGGGTATGCTGCTGCACTGTGGCAGGGATGTGCTTCCAAAATCAAGGCGGCATTATTAAAATATGGTACTTTTCAATGAATTTCCTTAATCTTAAAATATTTTTATCCGGTGTACTGTAGTATGTATGCTTTGATTTCGAATCTAATGTTGTAATAATTCCCGAAGGTAAGACATATATCTGTTAGGAAATATTTTCTTTAAGAAACCTTGAAAAATATACTATGAGAACTGGGGTCAGCACATGTGCTTGACATCAAAGGAAGCTTCTGTTTTTCTTTCAGGTTTAGTAGAGAAGAACATGTAAAATAGAAATCTAGATTTTTTTTGTTTTGTTTTTACAATATCTTAACCTCAAAATAAATTTATGTTGGAATATTGATTTCTTAAAAATTAAAAAATAATACATGTGTATACTCACTCTTACATATTTTCAACTTATTGACTTTTGGTATAACAATATTCAATTCTGCTCACTGAGAACACTGTCTTAAAAATGAGGTGACTGATGATTATTTTCTCATTCATTCTTAGTCTCAGCATTCTTTACTGCAGAAGATGTTTTAACAGTGTACCTCAGAAAATGAGTCACTTTTAACTTTATTAAAACCAGCACACTACATGAAACTATGAATGGTGAGGAGTTAGAAAAAGTAATCAGTCAAACATTTGCTAAATCCTAACTATAAATCTTGTGCATGGTATTGAAACTGCAGGAGTGTTCCCAAGCACTCAAACGTCAGTTGTGTCTAATGTTCCCTATAGTACTCTTCAGTTTTTCCTGAATAAACTATTTTCACAGTCTCAATAAATCAGTTTTAAAGAGAGGAAGATGAAGAAAAACAAATCATGGCAGCATGCAAACTAGGAAACAAGAAAGAAACAGTGACAAAGCTTTGAGAAATTTTTTGCAAAAGAAAATCACAAAGGGCTCCTTTTACTTAAAATAGTCATCATCTTTTCTTTCAAAGGAGAGTGTGTTTAAAAAGATTGTTTTACTTACCACTTAATCTATAGTGATTATAGGCTTATTAAACATACTAAATTCTATATAACAATAAGTATTTTAAATATGGAAGAAGAAAAGGTGAAAAATCATTTAAAAAATAGCCCTTCCAAAACTTATTTATACTTTAAGTTACTGAAGATTTTAATTACTAAAGAAAGTAGACTTAAAGAAACAATTACCTTATGTTCTCATAGCAACTAACTTCTGGTTTCAACCCTGCAGTATGACGAAAAACTTTGTATATGATAACTCCAAAAGCCAAGAGATTAACCTGAGAAAATAAATTAATTTTAAAGAAGGGATAGTTCTTATAGTAAATTAGATACATATAAAGCAAATAAACAAATAGCAAAAATTTTAAATAAACAGAAACCAGACCATCATGGCATTTTTATGTCTATTATAAGGTACAAATTCTCTGATAAACTTAGGCAAATAAATCTGTGGTTGATCTTTAAATTTCATGGAAATTGTTAATACAAATGGTAGTACAATTTGCTAGATTGTATTAAGCAACCTGTTCAAGAAACTTCTTCAGATGCTATGATCGCATCTATAGATTGATGAGCATCAACTGCAAATACTATGATTAATATACATATTAAGATAAATTTTGATTTGAAAACTTTATGAACACTTGAGAAATCAAATTTTCGTTCATTAAACTGTGTGTTGTTTCTCTGAGGACAAGTGTTAGTGATAATTCTGTTAATCCTTTAAAAATTTAAACTGGAAAAGAGAAATTGAAAGAGAATTAGAAAACTCAACAAAATACTCTCAATTTTCTATTGCTAGAAAATGTTTGAAAGTACATTCTTTTGTATGGTTCATCTAGCTATCTCCTCTAATATTTATATTGAGATTTCCTTTCCCTAGGTTTTACTTCAGAAACTTTCAAAATATTAATCAATAAAACAAAAGTTTGAAGGAACATATATTTTATTGATAAACATTTATCATTCTATTATTTGTATTTTCTAATATGGGCTAAGGAGAATACACAGAATTTACACCTCTTTTAAAGTGATTGCATTATGCAAAGTTTCCTCTATTTCCTTTTCGAAAACCTGTAAGTAGTATTTGCAGTGTCAGAAGACTAATTGAGGAAAATAGTTTAAATGAATATCTCTTTTACTATGAGCACACTAATAATTCAAAATATTAAATATTATAGAAATAATTTTTAGATTAATCCTTTATTGAATATATTTTATTAATCCAAATTTTTCAAAAGCTATTTTGTAATAATAGCAAGGGGCAATATTTTAATTTTCATCTAATTCTTACTTTAATATTTCAAAAGCTGATAGTTATAGAAAAATTATGTTTTTTTCTTCTATATTCTAAGGAGTTTTACATAGTTTCTCAAAATGAAGTTTAAAAATTATTATTATAAAAACAGTATAAAATAATGGGTCAGATAATGTCATATTTTCACTTCTCCATGGAGAGGTCCTTGAGAGAAAAATCTTTTAGAAGATTAAAGATCGAGTCCCTTCTTCCTGCTTCCAAACATTTATTACTTCTAATTATATGATTAATTTTAATTACATTCATGCTTCAATGCAAAGAAAAGTCTTCAGCAATTGCAGAGGGGTGATAAAGTATATTTAAATTGATTTAGTTGACAGTTTCACCTTATCGTATGTTCAAATAACTGAAATAATAATTTAATATTTAATTTTATAAATGTTCTTTACTGCTTATGAAAAAAGGATGCACAGTATTTTCTAGGTTTCTATAGCTGTAGCGTCTTTAAATAAATTTGGAAACTATAGTTGTATTTAATTTTACAAATATATCCATATTTTTAAATAATAAAAAATATTAAAAAATTTAGTTAGTATAAATAGTATATGCATAACAACATTGGTTTTAAAATCTTCAAAGAATTTTTACGAGGTTTTTATATTGAACTTGTTATCTCAACAAAGGAAGCATTATAAGATAGAAAAACTTTAAATGCTAAAAAAATTTTTCTCTAACATAATTTTTCCATATAAATAATTTATAATACTTATTAAATTAAGTTTCTTAAACTTCTGTTTTTGATAAAACAGATTTGGAAAATAGTTGCTCATACTGCTGTGGTTTCTTTAAGTACTTATACATTTGGATATGCTCTTCTACATCATATGCTAAATAGTGAGAAGTGAAAATGGAACATTCCCTAGGGGTGATCCAGTTCTAGAAAGCACATTTTTTTTTTCTGTACAAAAGGGAAAATGTTTACATAGTTATAAAAAGCAGGTGCTGCTGGACTAGTAGGAGACTAATTTTTATTCCATAAACTTGTATTTTCCCAATTGTAAGAGAGAACAGATGAAAACATTTTTATCAAAAGTTGTTTTCATTTTACATAATGAAAACAATCACAAATGCAGTGATTGTGTTATCTACATTCATTGATAATAATACAAATATATGGACTTTTTTTGAAAAGCTACTTTGATATTTAATAAAGGAAATAGTACAGAGGAATAGCTAAACAATATCCTCTCAAACAGTAAGCACATTCTAGATTACATACAAGAAAAGTGAACAAATATGTGATTTTGGTGAGAATTGAAGCAAATAATAAAATATGGAGCTTTTTATTTTCATTTATTATAAATGTTTAATAAAGAATTTATTAAGTGTCTGGTATAGTAATGTGGGCTGGTACATATGAATGAACAAAATAGAAATTGTCCTTTATTCTCATAAACTTATTAAGAAAATATATAAACAAATATTCATCCAAATACTTATAAATCTACAAACTGTGATATATGCCATTAAGTCGCAAATTTAGATTGTTAGGAGAGACAAAATGGGTATGGATTAGAATGAAGTTTCGGGAAGTATCTCTTAAGATTTAGCATTTAAAACAGAACCTGATGCATTATAATGCACTAGCAGATCAATAATGAGGGGAAAAAGGCATTCCATGAAGTGAAATGTTGTAGAAAAAAGCCATGAGGCTTGAGAGAGTTTAGAATGCGGTATGGCTTTAAAGAATTAATAACAGTGGCTGAGGTATAGTACATTAAGGGAAAGGTAGGAGGAGGGGAGGTGGGTGAGGTAGAAAGTGATGAATAATATCTAGATTTTATCTTAAATGCAAAGGTTTTTATTTGTTCTTTTACTCAGAATCACTTATGTACTCTAGGTCTTTTCCTCAAGGAACTAGCAATACAATGGAGGAGATGACCAGTCAACAGGGAAGTATAACACTATTCAATAAGTGACATAATAAAGTAAAGTTTGCATAATAAAGTAAAAGAACACAGGATGATACCCTAACATGTGGTTTCTAAGCCAGTCTTGAAGGACCAGTAGAGCCAAAGAAGGGCAACTCAGAGAAAATAAGTGGTCATTTCAGATCTGGCATTAGACCTACTTATATACACTCATTTCTCAGGTGATCAGACACTCTGACTGAAAATACTACCTTTAGGTCCTGTCTGACCTCTCTACTGGGAAGTCTAATTGGAAAAGCCTTGTAACTGGTCTCCTCTCTTCCAGCCTTGCCTTCCTATAGTCTATTATCATTACACAGACAGATTGATCCCTTTAAAATGTAAGTCAGACCATTTCTCTCTTCCCTCTGAGTTAAACTGGCTGGCTTTCCCTCTGAGTTAAACCTGAAAATTGCACAATGGCCTCTAAGGTCTGAAATGGTATGCCTCTTCCCTCAAGTTCTGCTTTGTCCTCTGATCACTTTATTCCATTACATTGGATTCTCTGTCCTTCCTCCAACACACCAAGCATGCCTTAGGATAGTTCTACTTGCTGGGCCCTCAGATATTCTCATAGCTCACTTCTTCACCACCTCTTCTTAAGTGCTGCTGATCTACATACTGCCTCTCAGTTCACTTTTATGAAAATCTTAAACCCAAATGATAAATCAGATCTGAAATAAATTCTGTGGAAATGTAGAAAATGATGGTATTCTTTACTATGTTTGGACAATATAGATTCTGTATGCCAACATGTTCTTCCCTAGCTTTTGTCACTAGAAAACTGACAAAGATTCTCCTTAACCAAACTTTAGTCAGGTTCCTCTCAGCCCTTTTCTCATCTAGGTCTTGGCTTTAGGCTTCAGTGTCCATCCTTGCAGAGTCCAGTTTTAGCAGGAATCCTGCTAGGTAAGCTTAAAGAGGATTCTTCCACTCTTGACATCTAATCACTTTCAGTATCTAATCAAATTTGTCGTTCGGCCTTGGTATCTGATCACTATGGCCTGCCTTTCAGCCAGAATCTTGTTAAAGTAAGAATTCTCCTCAACTTTGATGTCACCTCTTAGTACATTTCCATCCACCAACTCCCCCACCCCCAACACACAACAGGTTCCTTGGCTCTAATTCCCAGATGTCTTTATTGCATTCAGAGTTGAACTGAACTTCTCTCCCCTGTTGTGATAGTCTTGACACCTATCACAGTAGTCCAAAATAAACTCTTTCTTATCATTTTAATAAGTATCAGAATAATTTTTTCTTCAAAACTCAGAGCCAAATCCAACATCATGTTATAATATTCAGCAATTTGAGGTAAATGGAAAAACCTACATTTGCTTATTTTACACTCCCTGTATTCTCTTTTACTTATAAAAATATGAACTAGTTTAAATCTCTTTCCTAATAGAGTGAAAAACTGTAAATAAGAATAAGTATCACTTAAATGCATATGACTTTATTTACTTAGAGGTGGAAATTAAGTTGAAACTCTGCATTTTACATGGTATAGAAAAGTATCTTTTGAGAGAAAATGTTTAATAAAATAAATATGAACAGTCTGAGATAGGAGAAACAAAAGCTCAAAACAAATTATATAGAATTAAAAAGAATTTCTGATAAGAAATAGTTCACAGTTATTTCAGAAGTAATGACTTTGAGGATAGAGATAGAAATATATGTATTTTAGGTTAAATAGGAAGATACTATTAGCACTGTACTTACAGGCAATGATGACATCAGTGATAGCTGACTTGAATATATGAGTACTTTTTTAAGAAAATCATTATTAACCTTAAGAAAATGGTGTCTTTAAAATGATTCACACCTTTGCTCATTAGTGTTTACCTAGATGTGCTGATTTTACTAGCTGTGTTTCCTTATTATTTATCTCTAAGTGTTAAAGCCATAAAAGCACAAGGGATAATTAATGACTTGCAATGAAAAAGTATTCATTATCATTTATGTCTCAATTAAAAAAAAACCCAAAAAACAGTTCTAGCTTGTCTAGGAATCCATAATACTTTTCTAGGAATAAATAAGACAAGGACATTAG